TCGCCCGTCCAGCGCCCCGGCTCTGGGCGCCTGCCGTGTCCTCCTCCTGCCGGAGCGCTGTCCGCGGCGGCGGCCGGAGAGGGCCGGGCCGGGCCGGCGGGCCGGGGGATGGCGCTGCTGGACCTGGCCCTGGAGGGAATGGCCGTCTTCGGGTTCGTCCTCTTCTTGGTGCTGTGGCTGATGCATTTCATGTCCATCACCTACACGTGAGCGAGGGGCAGCAGGAGGAGCTCGGGGTGGGGGTCGGGGCCTCGGGGACGGGCGAGGCTGGGAGGCATTTGCGCTTTGGAGGGGACCGGGCTCGGGTGGGGGTGGAGAAAGCTAATGCTCAGACTGTTCCCCCCCGTTCTCTCTCCCTGGGGACCGGCTGGGGTCGGGGGTCCTTGGGAGGGGAAAGTATTCGGTGAGTGAAGGGGTCGCTGGGTTGCAGGGGACCGCACAGCCAGGGGACAGGAGACTGCTCGTACGTGTCAGGCGGAAGGTTGCTTGCTTGGTTTGATTGTGCTGGGGATTCGTGTGATTTTTCATCTGGGCCGAGATGTATGGTGTGTTGTTTTTTCTCTCGCCATGGGCCACATTTCTGTTACGGTGATGATCGTTTCTACTCTTCTGGGAGCTGCTCACAGCTACCTGGAGACCTCCCTGTGGATTTTCCTCTTGAAAGAGCTCTGTGCGCTTAGATAGGTGTGAAGCACCTGTCTACCTTAAAAAATGCCCACCAAACCTCCGGGCTGGTATTGTAGCTTTGATTTATGTCAGCTTGTACATTTCGATGTGGATTTCTTTCCTTTTTTTAATTCCACATTTACTGTCTTGCTTAGATTTGTACCCTGCCCTCCACATCTTTTCGCTATTGATTTAACGAGTATTTCTTGAGGCCTACTAGATGCCATTCACTATTATTGGACTGGTGACACAGTGGTGAGCAGGACAGAATTCCTGTCCTCATGGAGCTTACGTTGTAGAAGGAAGAGATAGATAAAAATTCAAACAAGGTTATTAAAGATAGTGACAAAGCCTATGGATAAAATAAAATAGGGTGATGGCATGAATTAGAGACATGCAGTATGTGCCTAGTTCTGGCAATGAAATCTGCCTGTGTGAAATGAACAAACGGTGTAGAGCACGTTACTGATACGGATTCACTTGGCTTTTTAGCCGAGGGGGCGGGGGAAGAACGATCTGTACCACCTAGAATAGAGTATATGTTAGGAGAGGAGAGGGGAGGACTGTAAGAAATTAACATTTTTTTCTTTTTACTACAGAATAACTGTGCTTTTCTTTTTGGAAACATTGTATTTTATTAGTATAGTGTAGCATTTCCTGGTACTGGAGAAAGATGCTAGTTGTACAAGAGATACTACTGTTTCAACGTGAAAGAAAGCATGCCACTGGGGTATTGTTGATCTTAGTTTGGGGAGTTTGTAAGCTATAGTCACTGAACACATTCTGGAGTTCATTTTAAATATTTAAGTTCTTAAAAACAATTTTGTTACTTTTTCCAGTCATAAAAAAATATATTTACTATATAAGGAATTTAGACAATACGGAGAGGACTAAAAAAGAAAGTTAAAACACATGCACACCAAAACCATATTACTTTGTTATCCTTTTGTGACTATTCTTCCAATTGTATTTTTTTCTGTGTGTGTCTGTGTGTCTGTTTGTGTACGGGAGAGAGAGAGAGAGAGAAGCAGGGAGGGGGAGAGAGAACTAGGGACCATATTATGATTATTGTTCTGTAACCTGCTTTTAAAATTCATCTATTTAATAAATGCTGAGAAGCTGTTTTGTTCAAGGTACTATTCTAGGTGCTGGAAATAAGAGTGAAGAACAGGACAACCAATGCCTGTGCTCAGATGGAGCTGCTACATAGGATGTTATGACCATTTTTTTCATGTCAATAAGTGTATGATCTCTGCATCATTTTTACAGATGCATAGTATTGTAGTTTATGAGGTACTAATAATTATGATTATTGATGGGCACTTAGGTTGTTTCCAATTTATCAGGATTACAAACAACACTGATGAATTCGTATTCATGAATCCTTAAGAGATGACCTCCTTAGTTTCCATTTCTGAAAGAGGAATTTGGGGGCCAGACGTGGTGCTCACTTTAAACTTTGATACATATTGCCCTCTAGAAGTGTTACATCTATTCTTAGTCCAGGTAACATTGTACATTGGTCCTTATTTCCCCTTACTAAGTATCAGGCTTTCACTATTTTTTGTTTTTATTTATATTCTTTTAATTACTAGTTGCACAGAACGCTTTAGCATTTACATTTAGTTGCGAATTACATACTCATAATCCTTTGCCTGTGCTGTGTTGAATTCACTGGGCAATAATGATATATGATCCAAGAATTTGATTCAATTTATGGCTGATTCCCCTGCCCCCTTTGGAAAGTATTAGTTTTATTTTCATTTTAATATTTTAACACTTTCTTTTAAGTGCAGTTCAATACAAATGAGGTTTTCTTAGAGTTTTTTTATTCAAAATATTTTAACATTTACTTGTACATATTTGTTGAGTACAGTGCATTGTTTCAATACGTGCGCATACTCCATAATGATTCACGTAGGGTAGACAGCAGAGTTTTGTACCCATTAACGCACCACTTCTCCTCCTCTTGCCCTCCCACCTCCCGCCTCTGGTAACCATTATTCTACTCTCTACTTCTATGAAAACCACTTTTTTAAAAAATTGAATCATAGGGCCGGCCCGGTGGCGCACTGGATAGTGCGCCGCTTGGGAAGCGCGGCGGCGCTCGCACCACTTCTCCTCCTCTTGCCCTCCCACCTCCCGCCTCTGGTAACCATTATTCTACTCTCTACTTCTATGAAAACCACTTTTTAAAAAAATTGAATCATAATTGATTGTACCTATCTGTGGAGTACCACATTGAATATCAATACGTGTGTGCAATATGTGATGCTCAAGTAAGGATAATTAGTATATTCAACATTACAGAATGTAATCTTTTTTATGGCCTTTTACTGATTTCTCACTAAATCCCCCCTTCCCCTCCCTCATTCCCACCTGAGGACCACTTTTTTTTAAAAAATTGTTTTTTTAAGATTCCACATATGAGTGATATCATGCAGTATTTGTCTTTCTGTGCCTGACTGACTTCACTTTCCTCATACAGTTTTCCTTTTAAAATGTATGAACTAGTTAATGGACAATATTTTAATAATCTGGTGTATTAAATTTCAAAGTTTAACATTTAGCAAAACTTTGTTTCACAAATTTACATTTAGAGTGACAGGATATATATACGACTTAAAACCCATGTTTAGACAAATGTCCTTTCCTTTCCTCAAAATAAAAGCTTTGAAAAGTGCAGCATAAACATTTTAAATATTAAGGCACTGCATAATCTGCATCGTATGGCTGTCTTGCTTAACAGCAAGAATTATGAAAATATTCTACCCTTAATTTAATTGAGCATCAGAAACTTTTTGAGGAAGGACCTAGCTCTCATCAAAGAGAAGCTTTTGGCTCATTTAGTTAATGAATTCGTTTCCAAGAATGCCTTTCAAAAACTTGTTATCTGGAAAAGACAAAAAAAAAAAAAAAAAAATTGAATCATAATTGATTGTACCTATCTGTGGAGTACCACATTGAATATCAATACATGTGTGCAATATGTGATGCTCAAGTAAGGATAATTAGTATATTCAACATTACAGAATGTAATCTTTTTTATGGCCTTTTACTGATTTCTCACAAATTCCCCCCTCCCCTCCCTCGTTCCCACCTGAGGACCACTTTTTTAAAAAAATTGTTTTTTTAAGATTCCACATATGAGTGATATCATGCAGTATTTGTCTTTCTGTGTCTGCAGTGCCCTCATAGATAATTTTCTGTTCCATCTCTTTAGACAGGTCCTTGATGTACTCAAAGGGGATCTCAAATTGAAATGTGTTGTAGAAAGGAGAAGGATAATCCAGCACCACTACATTGTTCACTTGAACTTTTGTCATATTTTGGGGGGGGAACACAGACAATGGTCCAGCACCACTACATTGTTCACCTGAACTTTTGTCATATTTTGGGGGGGGAACACAAACAATGGGAATGGGGGCTTGTTGTGGCACTATAAAGCCCAGCAAGTGGCTGCTTGGGAGAACATCCAGCACCACTACATTGTTCACTTGAACTTTTGTCATATTTTGGGGGGGGAACACAGACAATGGGAATGGGGGCTTGTTGTGGCACTATAAAGCCCAGCAAGTGGCTGCTTGGGAGAACACAGATCCCCTCCAGCCAATGTGTCTGCAGCAACTTGAGAAACTTTTTCTCCCTCTTTTTGTTTACACAGGAGCAATCCACAGTGTTTGTAGCTTTCCTGTTTCACTAAAATGCAGCCCATTCTGCTCTGATAACTCTTCTGATATTCAGTGATGGGTTTACTGATTCATTATCCCTCTCTTACTCCACACCATTAGTTCAGTATCCCTTCATATCTACCTGAGACTGTTGAAACCATCTCTACTCAATGGTATCTCTAGGTGCAACCTTGCTCCTCTTTTCTGTTTCTCTCACTGTAGCCTTATCCTTCTGGAACACTAATCTTCAATTATGTGCTTATCTTATCATGACTCTCCAGTGCCTCCAGGTTTAAATTCAGACTCTTTAACAAGACGTGCACAGCTCTTTAGGAGCTGGATCATCCCCTTTGTACCTATTTCCTCAGCAACCATTGAATTACTGTTACTGACATTTTCCTGAGTGCGCAGTGTACTTTCTTAAGAATTTTTTTCTTTTCCTTTTTCCTTCCTTTTTTGTTTAATTGACTCCTATTCATTTAAGTAGTTTTAAACTGTAGTTTCCTATTGAGTATGTGACCCCTCATGTTACTCTGTAGTAATTTGGATTTACTCATCTAATTGTAGATGTGTATTCAGTTGTCTCTTTTCCCATGAGATTGCAAGCTTATGAGGGTAAGAATCATGTCTTATTTACTACTGTATCTCCAGAATCTACTAGGCTCTCAATTAGTACTTGTTGAATAAATGATCTTTGAATTTTATCCAGTAGTAATAGTGGATTTTTGCTCATTCATTAATTCGGTCTCAATTGGCCATTGTGGTTTGAGGTAGATGGTCAGATTTGGAATGTTTTCAGTGGCTACAGACTTTAATGAAATTAATTAGATCAAATGGAATCTTTATCTCACTATTTCTAATCAATTGCC